CACCACCTACCACTGGGGAGGGGAGACCCTATTCAGTAAATGGTACTGGGAAAACTGGCTGACCACATGCAGAAGATTGAAACAGGACCCCTATCTATCCCCATACACAAAGATTAACTCCAAATGGATCAGAGACCTAAATGTAAAACCTCAAAGCATAAGAACCTTAGAAAATGAAGGAAATACCCTCATGGAAATCGGAACTGGCATCCAATTCCTGAACAAAACCCGAAACCCACAGTTCATAAGAGAGAAGATAGACAAGTGGGACCTTATTAAACTGACAAGCTTCTGCAAGGCCAAAGAAACCATCAAGAGAGCAGGGAGATAGCCTACAGACTGGGAAAAAGTATTTGCCAACACCAGGTCTGACAAAGGCTTAACATCCTGGATCTACAAGGAACTCAAACGTGCTGAAAAGAAAAAACAAACAACCCCATTATCAAATGGGCAAAAGATACGAACAGATACTTCACAAAAGAGGACATTTGAGCAGCCAACAAACATGTGAAGAAATGTTCAACCTCACTAATCATCAGGGAGATGCAAGTCAAAACCACACTGAGATACCACCTAACTCCAGTCAGAATGGCAGTTATCAACAACTCAAAAAATAACAGCTGCTGGAGAGGGTGTGGCGAAAAGGGAACACTTCTACACTGTTGGTGGGAGTGTAAACTAGTGCAACCTCTGTGGAAAGCAGTGTGGCGATTCCTACCAGCTCTAAATATCAACCTCCCATATAACCCCACAATCCTCCTACTGGGAATATACCCTGAAGAACTCAAATCACTCTATAAAAAAGATACCTGCATACGTATGTTTGTTGCAGCATTGTTCACAATAGCAAGAACGTGGAAACAACCATGCTTCCCATCAAAAGAGGACTGGATATAAAAAATGTGGTACATATACACGATGGAATACTATGCAGCCATAAAAAAGAACAAAATCATGAATTTCGCAGCAACCTGGATGGAACTAGAGTCTATAATACTGAGTGACCTCTCACAGAAACAAATATCCGAGTATCACATGTTCCCACTCATATAATGGACCTTGAACATCCAATATAATACTATAAGAAAATGACTGACGGTACTGGGAAACGATGGGGGGAGGGAGATGGGATTAACAGTAGCAAATATCTGTCTGGGGATGGGGAAACACCTCTTATCAACAGGGTGCCTGAATGAAACGTAATTGTACACCTAAACCTTAACTGTACCCCACAAAACCATAATAAAAAATATTGATTATGGAATAAATGAATAAATAAATAGGCACGCACAGATGGAAAAAAAATAAGTATAATTTAATGACATTTACTGCTGGGTAAAAGGTACTAAAATAAATCAGCTAATAATATTATAATTAGCATAACTTATAACTCAGAGAATTATGTACACACCAATCGCTTCATGGACAAATTCTTCCAGAGCTTTTCCCAGGGTTTCAACTGGTGAGACAGAGACCAAAACCAGTCATGCAAAGGACAAAATATGGGACAAATGATAAATATGAGTCAGCTTGAAGCTTAAGTCACAATGAAAGTTCTCTAAACACAAGGCAAAAGACTTTACGATATTTTTCTGCTAAAGCTCAACTGCTTTCAGATTTCACCATAATTGGTACTTAAGTGGTACCCATACTGTTTTACTATAATATGTAGAGAAAATGTTTAGAGTAGAAAGTAGGAAAATAATTTTTTAGATGCTGTATCTGTGTTCAGTATTTTTATTGCAAACACACTACTATACTATTTCTCCTGTAAAGAACACCGTTTTTTCAAAATGGAGGTCCCACAAATTATTTTCAGTTTTTAAACTTTATTTCTTCTTTTTGGCTAAGTCTATAAACACTTATCTCACAAAATTTTATTTAAAACAAAATAAATCTAAGAAGTTCTTGTGGTGACAAGGCAGGGTACCTATAATGCAGATGGAAAAAGGAAGTTTAAAAAATGAGCAGAATTAAGAAACATGTAAAAGAAGACAATCAAAATAGACTGAAGTGTCAAACGGGTGGTAAGAGAGCTAGGGAAAATACTGTTACATAAACTACAAAAGAAGTTTCTAGAAGGAAGGGGGCTATCAATAATATTAAACACACCAGAAAGGCCAAGTAGGGCCAGGACAAGGTCAATGAACTTAGCAACTTGTAAGAACATCACTGAAACAATTTTAGCACAGCAGTGAGAGAAGAATCCAAATTTCTTCTCTAATAAATAAGGGGGAAGTGTGAAAGTGGAAGCAGCAAATATAGGTGATTCTTTCAAGAACTGTGCAAATAAGTGAAAAACCGAAAGAAAGTAAAAGATAAAAATGAGATACTGTAGTGGATTGAGGCTGAAGAAAAGACACTGGGAAGGATTATTCAAATGTTTTTAAGGATGGAGAAACTGGGATTTGTTTCTACATTTGGGAGAGTCAATGGAAAGAAACAGAATGGAAATAAGGAGAAGGAGGATTTAATTTATAGAGCTAGGCGGGTTGCGGTGGCTCATGCCTGTAACCCCAGCACTTTGGGAAGCAGGAGGATTACCTGAGACCAGCCTGTTGGGCAACTTGGCAAGACCTCATCTCTACAATAAATAAAAAAATTAGCCGGGTGTGGTGGCGAGCTCCTGCAGTTACAGCTATTTGAAAGGCTGAGGTGGAAGGGTACCCTACGCCCGGTAGGTTGAGGCTGTGGTGCCCGTAAGCATGCCACCGCACTCCAGCCTGGATGACAAAGCGAGACTCCAACTAAAAAAAACTATTTATAGAGCTAGGTTTTGAAAACTGGTAAGAGAAGGGATGAAAATAATAGGAGGAATCAGACTTTGAAAAGAACTGGAATACCAGCTCATTTGGGAAAAAAAGGAAGGTAAAGATGAGATCATTGACACCCCTGAGGCTACATTTACTTGATAAAGTAGGCGGGGTTATGGGCTAAAGGTAAAGGAAATTAGACTAAAGAATCTCCTTTATGAATCAGATTAGTATAAGAAATTCACAAAAGAAGGGCTTTGCTTGTTCTTTTTTTTTTTTTTAATTGATTTAGGGTCTCACTCCATCGCCCAGGCTGGAGTGCAGTGGCATACTCAGCCAACCCAGTGTCGACCTGCTGGGCTCCGCCAATCCTTCTGCCTCAGCCTTCCAAGTAGCTGAAACTACAAGCATGGGCTATCATGCCCAGCTAATTTTTTATTTATTGTAGAGACGAGATATAGCCAAGTTGCCAGGGCTGGTCATGAACCTGATGGCTCAGGCAATCCAACTCGCCTCAGCATCCCAAAGTGCTGGGATTACAGGCTGAGCCACCTTGCCCAGCTCGATTGTTCATATTTTTAATATACACCCTATACAAATTGCTCGTTTTTAGATGAGTGAAACGTAAGGAGACCCTTTCAGAAATAACATTTTGGTCCTCAACTTAAACAGAATAAATTTCAGGGAGTAGAAATAGGGAAGAGAATCACTTTCCAACAAAGCCTCAACTTCATCTTTCTACCTATAATGCAAAAATGTATTCATTTACCTCAAAAGGTAAGTGAAGTCTTATAATATCATTACAGATAAAACATGTCTTGTCATTTTCTACACATACACAACTTTGCATGGGAATCTAACTTGCATTAATACTGGTCAGTCGATAAGCGTAGCACATTGTTTTAAAGACCCCACAATGGATAAATGACATCATCCTATAACTTAACGGGTCAAATTGCAATCCACTGAAAAGGCAAAAAGGCATAATCATAATAGCTCCATGTACTGACTGCGTACCCCATGTCATACAATGTTTTAAGTGCTAAGGGCATTAACAAGTTCAATCTTTACAAAATTTTAGATTAGATAATTATCCCTTTTTCCAGATGAGAAAATTACAGATGAGAAATTCACCTGAGAAAATCCAAACAATCTGGGGATCCATAGCTCCTACTGTACTACCTAGGCTAGATCACAAGCAACATAAAAAGTACAGAGTGCATGTAATACAGAGCTTTGGAATTCATTTGAGATCTGGATTCAAATCTAAGTATCATCACTTGGTTGGCTTACCCTGGAGAAAGTGTTCCCTGACCTTAGTTCCCTCCCTGTATAACCCATATGCCAGCTATGAGGGTCAAAGAAGCGCTTTTATAAACAGCAAATACATATGATGTCACTATTATTAGAAGATAGTAGCCAGGTAAAACACATATGGTATCAGCAAGCTCATTTTCTGTACTCTATCAGAAATTCTCGCACTTTATATTGTCATGGCTCATATGCAAAATAAGTAACTTTTAAAATGCAGGTTCCTGATTATTTTGTACAGCTTCTCTTACTATTTACTTACTAGAAGATAGGCAAGTTACTTAATGTGCTCTGTACTTGTGTTTTTCAGCTGTAAAAATGGAAATAATAAATCTCTGTTCATAGCTGCTGAGATCAACTGCAACAATATACAGAAAGCTTCTACCACAGTGCCTCTGGTACATACGAATAGCAGTCATGGTTGCTGCTCTTGTTAGCACTAGTTCTACCACTCAGCAGACACAAAATAAAACCAAAATTTAAAGGAGGTATGTGTGAAGGTTTGCCTAGGTGAAATAATTCAAAGGTTCGTCCATAAATCTATAGCCTGTGGCAACTTTCCCTCCGTCATTCTTGCTGCACTTTCCTGCTTAATAGCCAGAACTCTCTGTTGACATTTTAATTAAATTAATGCAACATATTTTTTTTCTCCTCATTCCCCTCGTGCCATTTTCATCTCCATCTCTCTCTCACTCAAAATCTGGCCAGTCGGTTCTTGACTCCCGACTACTCTCACCATTTTTCAAAGCACAAAAACTTGAACCCATTCTTCTGGTAAATCTAATACTACTGACATTTTATGTACTCATAACTATATTTTTAGACATCTCTCTCCTGGAATATGCTCTATTATTTCAGTTTCCTATTAGAATTCAAGAAAATGCTAATAAACAATGTTCAATTACATTATCTTTGTATTAGTACATGCATACTGACCTTGAGGTGAGACTGAAGAAAACAGCAAATCCAGGAAGAAATGTGCAAGAGAAAGTTAGAAAGAATTAATAAGGACAATATTCAGAAGAAATAATACTGTTCAAGGACACAGACAAAACATAAAGCACTATATTAGAAAAGTAAACAGGGTCACACAGATGTTGCACAGGTACTAAAAATTAGTAATTTCAGATTGTCAATTCTCAACAAGCATATTTTCTTATTAGATTACACCATTGTACTTTAATGAAAGTTTCTAAAGAAAAAAATTTTGTCTAAAATTGACCATTTCCTGAGGTAGAAAAAAATTTTCCTGAACACTAAAGAAAAGGTTAGTCATTCTCTTTCTCATTTAAATAGCTAGAACTGTCATAAGTTATTGCACAACTGTAGTCAGCTTAGTTTATAGACATCCATCTTATAACTACTTTTATCCACTTTACTCCATTAAGAAGATCGAAGTTATCACAAAGGAAAAGCAGAAAAACACTGACAGCTTCAGCTACTCTGTAGAATACAGAACTCTAATTTACTTGAAAGAACCTGAAATAATTTTCTCCAATGTTAGAACAAAATAGATTTTTGCCTAATCACAATCATACTTATCAATCCAATCCAATTTTCATACTTATCAATCCAATTCTACCAAAATCCTCAAATGGTGTAATCTAAAAGCAATAATGAACAAGAATATATACTCTATAAACATAAATTCATTTCTAATGTTGTTTGGCAGTAAAAGATGTAAAGTAGCCATGCTTATTAACATTCCTACATAACACAAAGTCCTGTGGTTCATTATTGTCTTATAACAGGAGTCTTTTTTTCTTTTTAAACATTATTAATCAATTTCACTGAAATTAGTATGATTCTCCAGATAGTTAAGACTTCTAATGGCCAGTGCCATCTAGACTGTCTCCATGGTCTACATTTTAAGACTCTAAAACAAAAGATTTATTTCTTGAATGCAAGCACCATCTCCATTTGTTTCCTAAACTTCAGTGATTTGTTGCAAAAGTCTAATTCAGCACTTAAAACCACAGTTTTTAAAAGTCATTGTGAAAATAAAATAAGGGTAAGGAGGATAAGATTTATTATCCCCATTATAAAAGATGAAAACAGAGAAAGAAAATGACTTGCTTACAATCACATAGTGGGTAAGTGGCAGATCCAGGACAAGTGTATAGGCAAGCTGACATCTCACCTAGGCACACTTTATATGTTCCATGATGCTTTTTCAGGAATCTATAAAAGTCCATGGACCTTTAGCATCCATAACACAGTGTGAAATGCAAACAATGTTCAAAGGCAAAAACAGGCCAATCTCTAAATGACTGTTCCCAATGATCTTTTTAATTTTTGTTGGTTATGACAGAAGTAGTCAGAATAATTTTATACCAACAATGACATTAACTGAAATCTTTATATGCAAGGTTTTATGGAAGACATGGTAAATTCTTGAAAAAAAATCCTAATTTATTCCTGACAATGGAGAGCAACTTTAATTATCTTTTTACTTATTTTATTATTCATGAATCATACTTCACTTTGCATCAAACTATAGCTCTTGAGGAATAAATTTAGGAGAAAAAAATCTGCACATGAAATTGCATGTGATTCTAATGTTTACACTTTTAAGGAAAACATTAAGGTAGCCACTAACACAAATTCCTATAAGACCATAGTAGCAATTTATAAGGTGCTGTGCCCACAAAAAACTTTGGGAAGATGATCTAATAGAACTATGTATAGCTTTGCAATTTATTCTCCTTTTAAATGAAATCAGTGAAACTGATCAAGGAAGAAGAAGAAAGAAACAAGCAGCTTCCCCAGAAAGCAAGCTGAAGCAAGCAGGATCAGATAAAGAAACAGTCATTTTCAGTTGTAATCCTTCAGTATCTTTCCTTTCCCTTTTTTTTTTTTTTTTGTTTCATTCTTTAAACACAGACAATTCCTCCTCAAGCAAGAACACATATCACGTAATTCCTCACAGCCACTACCAGTGGCCCCAGTAACCTCTCTTCCACTACAACCACATTAAGAGCACATTCTCCGACACTATACTTCATGGATCAAAGATGCATACCCACAAATTTAAAAGTAAGGAAATTCTTCTCTAAGGAACCATTTTCCTCATGAATTATAAGGAAGTTTATGTTAAAACTACGTATGGTTTAATTTCTATATGGCAGATCTTTGAAGACATTAAACTGGGAATTAAATCAGAATTTATTTAAGAAAAAATATTTGCAAATATTAAGACCAAATATCTTTTAGTTTTTTGTTTACATTTTCAGGTTACACTATGCCACAGATGCCTGAATATAATGTGATAAGCAATATAAAATAATCTCATAAAGTACATTTTCCCAATGAGACAAACAAAAAACAAACCAAAAAAAAACATCTTTTAGGTCAACCTAAGTCAACAAATGCAGGATATAGGTAAAATAGTCAAATATCTAATTATAGTAGTAAACACATTCATTTGGTTAGTATATACACATATATTTAAAATGGAATATATGACAAAAAAAATGTTAATTTTAAAATACTACTTTCTGGGCAACCCCTTTGGGTCTCCTCCCATTGTCGGAGCTTTTCTGTCCTCTCAATAAATCCTGCTTTCTCAAAAAAATAAAAAATAAAAATACTACTTTCTTCTACTCCCACATTCAACAAACAATTTTTATTGATTTTCTTTGAATGCATTTTAACATGAATTCACCAAAGATAGAAGATGCACCATTACTTTATAATATCACTAAGAAAAAAGTATAACAATTAAATTATGCTATGCCTCTAGTACATGTATCCCAATTTCAGAGATGTTCGTAAAAACAAGGTCAGAATTGGTATTTCACTGTGACAAAAAGAGGAAAGAGAAAGGTATCTATACCTTTGTTTAACCTACAGATCAAAAAGTAACTGCACTGAATTACATTAAGTTGTATAAGAATACTTTAGGCATATTTTATGCATACGAATTCAGTTACATTTTTACAGAAGGAAAAGTATATGTAAACATATTATGTACATGTATAAATATGTATATGTGTAAATAATTATGAACATATAAAAGAAATATAAAAATAATATATTTTTTTTTTTTTTGAGTTGGAGTCTCACTCTGTTGCCCAGACTGGAGTGCAGTGGCCGCTCCTGGGCACCGCAGCCTCGACCTGCTGGGCTCTGGCGATCCTTCCACCTCAGCCTTCCAAGAAGCCAGAATTACAGGCATGCACTACCACACCTGGCTGATTTTTTGATTTATTGTAGAGATGAGGTCTTGCTACCCAGGTGGGTCTTGAACCCACGGGCTCAGGCAATCCACTCACCTCAGCCTCCCAAAGGCGCGGGATTACAGGCTGAGCCACCGAGTCTGGCTAATATTTTCAATATTACTAACAAAGTATAAGAGACTACTGAACTCCCATCTTTTTAATTTCTAAAGAATCTGAGTATTATGGGCAATAGGAAGATCTGGAGATGTGGAATGATTGGTGGAATGAAAAAAGAGCACTATCTCTATTCTAAGACATATATACGTCTCCCAATCATGTTACAGTCACAGGACAGAATGTGATAGGGACTACAGGAAAAGCACAAATAAAGGAAAGTGCGCTTACTACTGAATGGAGGCCAGAAAAGTTTTCTTTGTCAAAATAAGTAACAGTTAAAAGGGGTCAGTGTCCCATAAACAGAAGAAAATTTTAGTCAAAGAGAAAAGAATAAGAAAAGGTAAATAAGGAAAAAAAGCATCCATCTTCCAATTTTGACTTCTATTTTGTAAGAAAATGGTGAACTCTTCTAAGACCATCAAACCAAAAATAGGTAGCCTTATCCTACAAAGTAGTTTGTCAACACATTTTAGAAGATTTATGAAATATAAAAACATCTCCATTTTCATTATATAAAATTTTAGGAAAAGGTGGGTGCGGTGGCTCAAGCATGTAATCCCAGCACTTTGGGAGGCCAAGGTGAGAGGATTGCCTGAGTCCAAGAGCTCAAGACCAGCCTGGGCAACCTGATGAGACCTCATCTCTACAATAAAAATCCAAAATTAGCTGGGCATGGTAGCGAGCACCTGTAGTTCCGGCTACTTGGAAGGCTGAGGCAAAAGGACCTGAGCCCAGCAGGTCGAGGCTGTGATGGCCCTGAGTGTGCCACTGCACTACAGCCTGGGTAGCGGAGTGAGACTACAACTAAAAAAAAAAAAAAATTTTTTTTTAGGAACTAGTAAAATATTTTTTAAAAAACTCAAAAGACCATAACATTAAAGCATTATGTTAAAGTCTAGCAACTGCCTTTCCTAATTTCTCCAGATGGCATCAGAAAAGTTTTCTTTCTCTTGCACATACACACATGCAAGCAACACTCCCAGATTAAAAATTACTGCTGGCATGATAGGAAAATGACCCCATCTTTGTGTTCAAACTCAGTTAGATAGTTAGTCCTCAACTGGGCAACATGGAGAGACCTTGTCTCTACAATAAATAAAAAAGTTAACTGTGTGTGGTGGTGCACACCCATGGTTCCAGCTAGTTGAAAGGCTGAAGCAGAAGGATCACCTGAGCCCAGAAGGTCGAGGTTGCAGTGACTGTGGAACGTGCATGCCACTACACTCCAGCCTGGGCAACAGAGTGAGGTTCCTACTCAAAAAAAAAAAAAGAAAGAAAGAAAGAAAAAGAAAAAAGAAAAATCAACTAAAGTAGCCCAAATCTTATGAACTTAGATCATATACTACTTTGAAAACAAAGCCAGTTGTTTATGACTCAATATGTAGTTCCTTTGAAAAAAACATTGTAAATATAGGTTAGGTTTCCTTGCTAGAACACAAAATTCAAGTTTAATCACATCGTAAAGATAGGTCTGGAAAAGATAGTTAGCAAGGAAGATAAAATTAATCACCAAAAAGAACTTTCATTATAACTACTCAAAGGGCTATCCCAAGAATTTTTAAATATGTGAATAACAAAACTGATCTCTAGTTCTCCTGTCCTCCTCAGAAC